AACATGTTCTAGTATCTCAAATCTTAAAAACACACCAAAAACAAACAAAAACAAAAAACCCATAGAGCCTTCTCTTAGTCCCATATAACACCGGAGCCAAGTTCCTCAGGAGCCCAATTTCTTAAAGGCTCACTGTCTGCATTTCTTTACCTCCCATCTTTTTCAATTTTGCTTCCTTCCCAGTAAGCAAGCACTCACAAAGTTCACCAATGACCTACACACAGAGCCATTATTAAGAGTATGTGTTCTATCAGAATTCCAGCTCCTCGATTTATTGGCTATGTGACTTACCTAGGCTAGGGGGCTAGTCACTTAATCTTTCTGAGCTGCAGTTACTCCCTGCTAAAAAGTGGGTGATGTATCTCTGTAGAGGGTTCTTTGGGTGAATCAATAGAAAAGGTAAAAACAAACAAACAGTGCTTAACACAAAATAAGCACTTAATAAAAGTTGGCTGCTACTTTTCTTGTTAAATGATATTTTCAGTTTGTTATCCTTGGTCCTAAGCCCTCACCTAACCCTTTCACACAATATTTTTTCACTAAGCAATCCTGTCCACAACTGGTTTCAATTAATATCACAACACTCATTGATGACTTACAAATTTGTATCTCTAATTCAGACGTCTCTTCAGAGTTTCAGAGCCATATATTCATATTCAGAGCCATAACATATCAAAGGCACCTCTAACTTAACATGTTTAAGATGGCACCCATAATCTGCCCCTTTGTACTTGTCATCCCCACTCCACTTCACCACCAGCAAAACACCAGGTGTGTAAGCCCCAGAAATAGAGGAGTCATTTTTGACACATCCCCCGAAATTCTCTCATATCCTTCCTTGCACATCTACCTTCTCTACAATCATAACTCCGATTCAAAATGTGTCATCTTTCACTTGAAAAAGTCTCCTAACTGGTCTACCCCCTCTAAACTATTCTCTAAGTATCTACAATGGGCCCTTCCAATCATTCCAAACATTGTAGTTAAGAGTATACTTTAGTTACACCTCCTATACTACCTTATATACAGAATTAGACAGATGTGAGATGATTCTCAGACCATTAAATAAATCTCTGTGAGCCCAAGATTTTCTAGCTGTGTACAACCTTGGGCAAATTTTTTAGCCTCTCCAAGCCTCAATTTTTTTATCTGTAAAATGGAGGCAATAGTACTTAACCTCCTATGCTTTTGTCAAGAGTAAATTAATAGCGGCAATTCAGTGCTTGCCACTTATCAGACTAAATAAATGTTAGCTAGTAAAACAAGCTACATATAATTCCCCCATTGCCTGAGTTCTGGTCCTGATCTCTCACACAGCCTATATTAACAGTCTCCTAACTGGTCTCACCCATCTCCAAATGCCTAAAACCCAAACAAAGTATGGCACATTGTAGGCTTTAAAAAAAATCGGGTAAATCTGGCTTTCTTTTAGTACTCTAGGATTAAACAAAAGATCAGGTACAAACTTCTTTGAGCTTGGCATATAATATAGATAATATAGCTCCTGCCTACCTTACTAACTTCTTCCACAGTAATTCTTGCATGTGCTTCTGACTTAGATTCATCAGGCTGCTTGAAGTTACTACAGTATCATCTCTATTGGGCCTGCCCCTTTGAACTTGCTTTTTTTTCCCCTCCACCTGCAACTTATGTCTGCATTAATTACCACATTACTATTTATCTCAACTTTATAGGAGAGGAAACTGTATCTCAAAGAAGTTAAAAGACTGGCCAGGATTACTTAGGCTGGAGACTGAACAAGATGTCAAGGCCAATGTTCTTTGTACTATATTAGAACTTCTCAAACTTTTCCAATGAGTGCTTCTGTTGAAAGAATTTAACTCCCATCCTTGAGGTTAAGGAAGACAGAAACCCAAGCTGCACCTACCAGCACGGAGTATCAAGCTTTATCTTCAAAATAAATCATTGTCAAAACTTTGAACAAGTCGAAGACAGAAGCCCCTCAATTAGAGAATCAATCCCCTTTACTTTAAATCAAAACTATAAATCTAAGTTTGTCTTTTCTGAGTTTGTCTGCAAATCTACTCCAAGAAACTATCTTCAGCCTTCATTTTCATCATTATCCACAAGGATATAATGAGACACAGTGTCACACAAAAGGCTGTAGTTACACAATGAAATCAAGCATTGCCAATGTGTTTAGGAAAAAGAACTGCTGCCCTGAGGATTCTTGCAAGATCCCTAACATGAGAAAGGTTGAAAACAAAAGAAAACCCAGGAATCCTAGGCAAACTTGAGTTTTCTTAGGACAATACTCATTTCTCTAGGGTAGGGCTTGTCAACTTGGGCACAAATTGAAAAACCAGGCCAGATAATTCATTGTTATGGGGAGCTGTCCTAAGCATTGTAGGTTATTTACCCTCTACCTACCAGATGCCAAAAGGATGCCACCCGCAGTTGTGACAACCAAAAACTCTCCAGACATTGCCAAATGTCCCTTGGGGAGAAAAAGGCCCCCAGCTGAATGCTCTACAGTGACACCTGGTATATCCTAAATTTTACTGAGGGGTGAACATTAGATAGGAGACTTCAAGCATCTTACTCTATACAGGAAAGTCATGGGAGAAAAGAAAAGAGACCTCCTCCATTTGCACAGGGCACCAGGATAAAAGAAAAGAGGACGTGTGGTTTCTCAAAGTTAATTTTCCATAAGTAAACTGAATGGGATTTAAGTTCCTTACCGTTTCAGGTGAGGCTTCAAAAACAACCAGACATTTAAGCCTGTACTTCTGGGTGTTGTGGGAGAGGAGAGAAGAAAGAAAAAAAATGTAGGGCTGTCCCTACTTAGATGGCTACACCATTTGGCCTCTAGTCTAACAACAGAGTGACAAAAGGAGATAGCTCAAGATGACACCATCCTATTTTGCCATCTTATAAATGAACATAACCTACTCTATTCCACCAATCACCATCCAACATCAACGCTAAAGATGTGCAAACATTCAAACAGTCACAAGGAAACAAAAAGCTATTTTATATAAAGGCAGAGATTTCAACATCTGCAATTTCAAAACCTTAGCTCTTGTGTTTAATAAAATGCAGCTCACTATCTTTGGCAGCTATTCCCTTAGTGTTTGCTAATAAGTGAGAAAGCAAACTCAGAATCCTGTGGAATTGACCCAAGGCAAAAGGTTTGGCAGGGATGGGGTGGGATGGAGTTTGCATGTGAACATACATGCACACAGATACATGTTTTCAATATTTAAGAATATTTTTGTCTCTACTCTAAAAAAAAAAAAATCAACTCTGCTTGCTGTATTTCACTACTATTGCTTTTAAGTTTCTACAATTTTATGTTTACCCCAGGAAACCAAACCTAAGTTTTGTTTTAACAAGTCTCCTAAAAATCTAGCTAAAATGAAGAGGTAGATAGCTGATATAACTGTGTAGTGAAGTGTCATGAGCCTCAGATTTCCCATCTGTAAAATGGGCATAAATAAAATGCACTTCTTAAAGTTGCTGTAAGGAACAAATGAAATCTTGTGTGGCCAGTATCCAGACACCCAGAATACACTTAGCAAGTTGTTACTATTCCTACTGTTATAACTATTATACATCAACTTCTCTGAAATTCCCATATCTTCCACAAACTCTAAGGAAGAACACTGCATTTTGCAGAAGAGAAAAATATATTTTATGAGCACATCTCACATCTAGATGCCAACACATATAAACATTATCTGTGATGACAACACTGGGTAGGGCAAAAGAAAAAGTGAAAATGTCAGTTTTGTTTGAGAATTTTTGTGTCAGTTATATCTGGTATTCAGAGCTCACATTATGAAAGTCAATTTCCTTCCTGCTGCAAAAAAAAAAATTTTTTAAAGGAAAGGAAAAAAGAGTTAAGAAAAAAAGACAAATGAAAGAGGAACAAAGAAAACCACAGCAATAATATGGGAGACTACAGAGAGGGTCACACAAGACATATAGGTAATTCTACAATGACAATCCTCTCCTAACTTTCAAGAACAGCAGTAAAAGGTCAGACCTTCCAAAGAAACCAGGGGTTAGATTTCACTGTTTATCTAATTAATTAAATTCCACTGGAAGCAATTTTCCTTCCCAGTAGCCAAAATCCACTGTTAGGTGAGTTAAGACATGCATTTATGAAGTACTGCTACATATGTAGAGCTCTTCCTCTGGAATTGTAATATTTTAAAAAGCTTTATTAATTCAACTGCAGCTCCCCTGAAATGAAGTATTAACAGCAAATACAAAATGTCTGGATTTCCCTAAGACAATATCAATTCCTTACCAGAAACCTACCCAAAGAAAAGGCAAATGTTCTTCAATTCTTATTTTGTGGAGTAAAGTCAGGGCTAGGAGACTGAAATGAAGTTGCTGGAGAATACATTTCCAAACACTTACTTAAAGGGCCCTCAAAATATATGCCATTAAGAGGGTCCAGATAACACGACAGCTGAAGTAATTCATGAGCATACCCCCCACAAATGCCTTGCATACAAACAGCTCCACGGCAACAGTTCTACAGTTCTTGGCCTTCAGTTGGCTCCTGGCAGGTTGGCCAGAAAACCGGTATTCTAGTCACGACCTTTTCCAGTAATTAAATCAAGGAGCTTGTGGGTTCTAGCCCAACGCATTCATTTTACAGAGGAGCCTGAGGCAGGGCGTGAAGTTAACGTTCTCAGCCTTTTGACATGAAAGCCCACCCAGAACCCAGAGCTCCGGATGCCACGGATAAAGTCGCACACACACCTGGGAGGGGGACAGAGGGGCATGGGCCCCGAGTCACACTGCCTGCAATTTCATCCAGCTCTTCCACCAACTGTTTGTATGACCTTGAGCACCTAAGTTCTGCGCCTCCAGCTCCATCCACATCTGTAACACGGTAGCCAAAGCCCTACAACCTGAAGCCATTGGGAGGAGTGCCCGTGCTGGGACACGCTCCAGGCTTCCGCGCTCCCGGCGGGGCTCTCCGCCCGTCCGCTCCGGCCGCGCCCGGCGCTCGGGGCACCCACCTGCACATTAGGGAAGGCGGTCTTGAGCAGGTAGAACATCTTGCGGTTGGACAGCACGTCCCCGCTGGTCATCTTGTCGTCGGCTCCCTCGCGCGTCTTCCCCTTGGATTTCTCGTGGAGGACGTTGCTCTCGCGGACACGCCTCACTTCGTCGCCACCGCGGACGGCGGCCAGGACCGACACGGCCAGCATCTCGCGCAGGTCCACGGTGCCCCCGTCCGCCGCGGCCACGGGCCCCGCCGCGCCGCCGCCGGGCTCGCTGCCCAGGCCGAAGAGGCTGAAGCGGCCGGCCAGGAAGCCCGAGTAGAGGTGGTACAGCACGCCGAGCCCCAGCAGACAGAACACGGCCACCCCCAGCGGGGACAGGCGGATGCCCATGGGGGCCATGACGCCGGAGGCCGGGTGCTCGGGGCGGCGGCCCTTACAGGCCTCCCCGCGCCCACCGCCGCCGCGCTCCCAGTCCAGGCGCCGCGCGTACTACACCGGCGCCCGCTCCCCGGCGCCCGCGCGCCCCATCGCTCCTTCCCGGGAAAGGCCGAGCCGTGCCGCGAAGGACGCCGTCGCCGCCCGCGTGCCCAACTCCCCGGGGCCGTGCGGCCCCAGCTCCTCAGCCGGCCACCGAGTCGCACGTCCACGTTAGCCAACCGCCGGGAGGTGAAAGGGTAGCGTGGGTGTGTATCCGGGTTACGCTAGGGGCGGGGCGAGACGGGCTCCTCCCTCGGGGCGGGGCGATCCTGGGGGCGAGGCGGCCGGCTACGTGCTCCGGGAGGCACCGGGCTGCGCTACCTCCTTTGGTTGGTGTCCCGCGATGTTTGGGTTTTCAGATCGCGCCTCAACGTAGCGAAGCTGCTGTCTACACTGGGAAGGATACTGAGTGCCTTAGGAAAATGTAATCCCCCTTTGAACGCCAGTGTATGGCTGAAATAAAGCCATATGACAATCCTGACTTCCCATCACTCTCAGATTATTGAGGAACGGAGGAAAATACAAGTCATTTTAACAGAGATCTGTATGCGTTTTTCTTCAGCACTTGTGTAGATAGAGCCTGTGGCTTTAAGTCGCCTCTCCGCGCTCTTCCAGTCAGAGCGGGAGGTGAGCGGTGACGCGAGGAATTTTACTTGGCTCTTCATTCTGTTGGCCTCTCTGGCCGTGATCTAAATGTTTATGCATTTGTATCTGTATGTGTATAGAGATTTTTCCCGTTACCTCCACTCTGAGCTGCAGAGAAGCAGACCTTGATCTTGGGCTTTCATAATGAAAAAACATTCCGGGCTTCTCTCATTTCCAAGGATACTTTACCTATACCTTCCTCTCAGAGGTTGAGGGGGAAGAGGAATTGCCTGAGAAAGTCCACGTGATGTAAAGGTTCTCCCAGGATGATCAGTCAATTTAAATAAGTAACCTTTGAGACAATGTGGGCCCTCCAAATGTACTTACAGAAGCATTTAACAGAAATGACTGACTGCCTTCTACGATGCCACTGGTCTTAGCAAGAAGAGTGATACTTAACTAAATTTTAGTTAATATTAAAATAAGTGTTAATACGCTTATCTTCCATCTTAAAAGTGAATATTAAGATCTGCAGCATCATTCTTAAATGTTAAATATTTATATAAAACCAGCTTAAAATGCAGCCTATTTTACTGGTCATAGCTAAAAGTCATTGGTTTTAAGTGGGCTTTAATACTAACGACCTTAAAAACTGCAAGTATACAGAATAAATTCTGAACATTCATTGCTAAGCAAGTCATTAGAGACAGCCTGACCTTTACCATTTCCTTAGAGTTCAGGGCAGCTGTAGAATTTGCAAATGGTTATACAGATACAAGAAACAAAGACTGTTGATTGCTTGGTTTCCCTGCCAGCAGTCTGTAACTAGCTTAAAAATAATCACAGCACAAAATCAAGTACAAATACAAATCAATGAAAGAACAGTTCCTGGAGTGTTGACAGCACCAGGTCTTAAGGAACTGGCACTGTCCTTGCCAGCTTTTGGGAGCATCTTCGAAATTAAGCAAAACTCCTTTCAAAAGAAATCTGAAAGTGAAGGTCACTAAATTCAGGGATAAATATAAAGATGAAGGGTTGAAGTATAAAGGCATAAAATGAACAGAACCACCAGAAACTGCACTATGAAACCTACAAAATGTATGAGTTGGGTAGTAGTTATGAAAATATTAAAAGCATCACTTGAAAGCCTGGCTGAGGTTTGTAAAAATAAACTAAATATTATTTTTCAAGGATATTGGAAAGGAGTATCAGGCCATGGTCACTGTAACACTATGCAAAGTGTCAGTGAGACAACTGGAGAGATATGAAAACCTCCAGAGCATTTACACTGCTGGAAAGATAGTTTAAAATTGAGGTAAAAAAATGCCAAGGCATGTGAAAAAAATGACAGTTTAAAGATCATAGTTCCAAGAGGTGCTCTAGTAGTCAAGACACAATTGATAATAAATATTAATAAAAGAAAACATGTACTCATTAAGAGAAACTTAGGACAAGAAGAAAAAAATTAATTACGTGTGGGACAGCAATGTTGTCTTAGAAACTTCATAGCGATTTGATTAAAAGAAACTTGCTTTTTCAGTAACAAGTTGTTAGAACCTTTAAAAAATGCATATATACAAATGAAAAATATGTGAAAGTAAATGTAAAATAATTTGTGAATTTTTTAGTGAATTTGTGGTTTGTGTGTGAAATAAATACCCATTTATGAAACATTATTAACCTCTTAAATGATAAGGGTATTTTGGTTTGTCTGAATGGCTCTTGACCCCAAAATTTACCTTGGAGAAACTGTGTGTGTGTGTGTGTGTGTGTGTGTGTGTGTGTGTGTGTGTGTGTGTGTGTGAAAGAGACAGAAAGAGAGAGAGAGAGAGAGAGAGAGAGAGAGAGAGAGAGAGAGAGAAGAAAGGAAGAAGTCTCTGCCAGTTAGTTTCCTTGTATTTTTCTTTTAAACATGCATTTTAGCGTGACAATATAATTAAAGGTTAGGCAAGTTGGACTCCAAGTAAAAGTGCTTTTAGTACCTTTCTGAGGAAGCAAAACAAAACAATGAATGATGGCATTTCTTCATTTTTAAAATACCAAACTTCCAAGAACAGTATTATTTGGATAGTCTTCCCCTAAGTGATTCAATCCTATAAAAACAATAATTTTATTTTGTAATAGACCCAGTGATATGGCATTTGATTCTGCCATTATAGTTCTATCTTTGGCAGCACATGCAATTCTTGGAACAGTGGCTTTCATATGTTAAGTTGTGGATGAGCTATTTCTAATAGATGATCTACATCTATTCTTAAAATTGTTTTCCCCTGAGATTTAGAATTACTCAACTAAATGGGTAACTTTTTTAATTAATATAAAATAATTATGTTAGCATTATAATATTCTGCTGTGACCCTGATTTAAGCAACAATAATAGGGATATTTATTAAATAGAGGCAATGTTGTAGGTATATACAATAGAAAACTACGTATAATTTTTACCCTTTGAAATTATAATTACTCTAATCCATATGAACAACATGAAGTCAGGCAGGTATTTTACATATCTTTATATCTTCTGACCTAACTTAGATTCTTTACATGTACAAACTTAGTAAAGATTGATGAAACTGAACTTTTAAAAGCTAATTTTAACAAAATTTTGTCTATTATTATGCAAAGGGTTTTAAAAAGTATTGGATTTAACAAATAGATTACAGACCCAACATTTATCTTGTCTGTTCAAAACATTTGTTTCACAAGTAAGCTGAAATAAATATTACCTTTGGAGCCGTTAAGATGTTAAATATTTGTTCATTTCTGTGTGTGCTCTTTATTAAATGTAGTGCTTAGCAAAGTATTACTTCAGTTAGTAATGTAAAATTTCCCACATCATATTTTATTCTCTAACTGGTCTGAACTCATATTACACATTTTTCCCACTATCTACCTGAAACCTGAGGTAAAATCATTTTCTATTTTTTCTTCTAAAACAAAATTGTATTAAACCATAGTTAACATACAATATTATATTAGTTTGATATGTATACCACAGTTACTCAACATTTATACACCTAAAGAAGTAATCACCATAAGCCTAGTAACTTTCTGACATTGTACAACATTATTGACTATATTCCCTGTACCATACTTTACATCCCCATGACCTTTTTTGTAATTACCAATTTGTACTTCCTAATCCCTTCACCTTTTTCACCCAGCTCTCCAGCCCCCCCACCCATCTGGCAACCATCAGTTTGTTCTCTGTATCTATGAGTTGGTTTCTGTTTTGCTTGTTCATTTATTTTGTTCTTCAGATTCCACATGTAAGTGAGATCTTACAGTATTTGTCTTTCTCTGACTTATTTCACTTATAATATCCTCGAGGTCTATCCATTTTTTCACAAATGGTAAGATTTCATTCTTTTTTATGACTAATATCCCACTGTATATATGTACCACTCTTCTTTATCCAATCATCTAGTGACGGCAATTAGATTGCTTCCAAAATCATCTTAAAACTCCATTTAGTTAAAAAAATATAATGTGATATTTAAAATTTTCTAGTCTTTAAAAAATAGCTTTTGAATTGGTTCATCAATCATGAGTAGAATATATATGTATGGAATTATATTCATAATTTACAGTGACCCTTGAACAACATGGGTTTGAAAAGCACAGTTCTACTTATACACAGATTTTTTTTTTCAATAAATATATTGGAAAATTTTTTGGAGATTTGTGACTATTAAAGAAAACTGGCAGGGTAGGCCGAGTGGCGTGTTGGTTAAGAGCTGGCTTGGGATGCCCGCTCTGAGCAGCAGGGCCCTTGTTCGGATCCCACATGAGGGCCAATGACACTGCCCTCTACAGATAAGATGGTGAACAACAGCGCGACCTGGAGCTGACCTGCCATAGGCTGCGTAGGCTGCAGCGGTGGCGTAGGCTGCAGTGGGGCTGCAGTGGGCTGCCATAAGCTACCGTGTGTGTCCGGCAGCCAGCGTGAGCAGCCGGCAGCCGGTGTGAGCTGCCAAGAGCCGCTATGAGCGGCTGTCCAAAGGCTGGCGACCGATCTGCCTCACCCAGGAAAAGCGCAATGATAATACCAACATGGGCCAGTGAAGCGACGTCCTCCACAACTAGACTAAAGAACAAAAGGACAGCAACTTTTCTATTCCCCTTCCCCAATTCCCTGGCTCTGTTCCCCTCCCCCAGTTCTCCAATAAAACCTTTAAAAAAAAAAACTGGCAGACAAATCTTATACTTTTTAAAATAACATTTTCTTTTTTCTGGCTTACTTTATTATAAGAATACATTATTAATACATATAACATACAAAATATGTGTTAATCAACTGTTTATGTTATCAGTAAGGCTTCCGGTGAATAGGACACTACTAGTTAAGTTTTGGGGGAGTAAAAAGTTATGCCTGGATTTTTTACTGCATGGGGGTTGGTGCTTATAATCTCCACATTGTTCAAGGGTCAACTCTATATTACAGAAGAACGCCAACATAATACGTTGCTATTGCACAAATTTGGGTGTTATGCAAGCCAAGTCATGTCACCCAAAATGTAAGAATTCAATATATTTAATAATATCTTAGCCAACATGTCTCAAATTTTTGCCATTGAAAAAGGGTTAAACAAAATTTTTATATGTAAATATAACAAAGAAA